TTCTAAATCAGAGCATTGTGGACAGATGTTTAAAATCTTAAAATGACTCAGATTCATTTGTTACATTGCTTTCAGCTCACATGAGCAGTACAGTAGGGCATGCCATTTCTGTCTTATAGACCTATTGCAGTGGGGATGACACAAAATATGTAATAGTAGCATATAAAGTTTCTGTTAATTAAACTAAGGCTGCCTTCAGGTACATCCATGCAGTTTCATTGACCCTTAAAGACCAAATTTATCAATTGGTGTTTATTTGTCTCCATTGAATAGCACAGAATTACATTAGAGAGAAATTTAATCCAGTGGAGTTGCTCATTTCAGGAGTTAGCCCAGTAACTATTGCCCTCATTCTACATTTATTGCAGTATTAATTAGTATAGGGCATGGGATTTAGAATAATGAACATCTTTACTTGATTGAATGCATCTTTTGTAAAACTGCATAGCTATTTTGATCTGTATACTGTGACTGATCAGTCCATGTGCAGGTGACATTTCAGCAGGAGTTTTGTTCAAATCAAGGCTGCTGGAGTTTTGTTAGTTTTCATGATTTTGTTGATGTTGCTTTTTGACTCATTTTTCATTAAAAGAAACTAATGGTCTCTGACACATCATTATTCAGCATTACAGCCACATTTTGCTGAATAATGATGTAAAGCCCAGTTGAGCCAATAGAAAGACTGCCACTGATTTGAGTGACCTTTCACTTTTGGGCTTTCTCTCTCAGGGCAAGGTGACTGAATTTTGAGGGCAAGAGGTAGTTACCAGCATGTTTTTTTCTTTTATATACATGATTTTCTTTGTTTAATCCAATACACCTACTTGAGAAGCATACTGGCTAGTAGGATAGGGAGATATTTATGTCAAGTCTATTTCTTTTGTAAAGCAACCATGAAAATGTTAATCAGTGACATATTTTAAGTATTTTTTTCTCTGGCCTCCTCTTTGTTTATAAATTAAATCTTTTCACTCCCCTGTTTAGATACTCTTTAATGCCTCTTATGTGACTTGTTCAAAGAACTCTCTGTCTGTGGTGTTGCAGCAGAGCAGATTCAGACAGTTCTGTTCGGATAAGGAAGTGGAGAGTTTTGGTTCCCATTTTGCACTTCTGGAACAGTTTAGGGAAGGAAGCACCTTTACACCTTTTATTGTTCGTGGTTGCTGATGTCATATCCTTCCCTGACCACTCTGTGCGTGTTTCCTGCCATTCTATCAAGATTCTCCTCTGTTTCAGGGAGGGAGGGAGAGAGAGAGAGAGAGAGAGAGAGAGAGAGAGAGAGAGAGAGAGAGGGAAGGAGGAGTGGTTGAATAATCTTCAGCATTTGTGCATCAGAAATTTCTTGGGGCTCAGATCCTCCCTTCCATCAGCTATCTCTGCCTGTGCCAAATCATAAAGTGAACAGAAGCCCGCCAAAATGAAGTTCCTCTTTTTAGTAAGCAGTCTGATTTTTTTTTTATGTTTGGGTTTGCTAAAAGAAAAAAATACTGAAGGCTGTAACACCACAGCATGTAGCTATGACATTTTTTATGCAAATTGTTTACATGTAACTATGTCATTATGTTGGAAAGTTTCTTTCATGCAGAAAGTTATTTCAGCCAGCTTCTGGAATTATTTTAAGTCCCTTGTAGGTGCTTTTGGATAATGAAAGCCTGTGGAACAGTTCAGGTTTTGTGTTATTTATAAGGTTTCTACCTAATGTATTTGCGTTTGGAAAATATAATTTGACCAGTTTATTGGAACTTAAAAAATGTAATGCACTAACCATGCAAGAATTTCCCAGAAAGTACCGTGAACATTAAGTAAGTTCTTAGAACATATGTAGGCAATTGAAGATCTCCATAATTCTATACATTCTGTTTTGGCACCGTCATTGTCAGTTCTCTGAAGGTTATGTGAATAACCATGAATCAAATGTGCTGATTTCCTCATTTCAAGTTATGTTTGACTTCATCCATTAGCTGTTTTGTGTGTGTTTGTGTTTGCCATATAAAAATGTATATAAATGTACACCAAGATATATTAAGTATAGTTAAGAACTCTGTGTATGTATGCTTGCGTATGAAGATGTGTGCATAACCCAAGCTACACAAAACACTACTTATCATAATGTATTATTAGTAGTAATAAAAATTGACAGAAATTATTCAAAAAGGAAAGAAATTCACTAAACAAATTCAGTATGTTTACTTGTCATTAGGCTCATAAGTACAAAGCAAGTAGGACAGTAGTTTCTCCACTGGTGAATTCAATAAAAAACAACTTTTTGCCTGGTGGTTTCACAGTTGTTTTTCCATGCAGTGCGCATATGGGATATATACAGTCTAACACATTGTTGGGGGGGGTTTCCCCATCAGACTTCCTGCAAATAATGCATTAAACATTTAACAGTGAAATGATCATTACTTCTCTTCCACGCTTTTTTCTTGTAATAGATTTTTTTTACCTTAAAAAATGGCCAGATTTCATTCTTGGTTAAAGTGCAGTGAATTTTATATGCCTAGTAGACTTTCTCTGTGTAACAGAGTGCAATTTGGTCCAACAGGTATTATGAAACTATTTTAGGAATATTTTGTGTAGCCACCAAATAAGAGTCCCCTACTCTGAGCAGTTTATAAAAGTTTTTTTGTTTTTTGGAAGATTGGTCTTAAATGTGGAACTGGTAAGTGTGTGGGTGGGACTCACTGTACTATTACTTCACTGGGGGATGTGTCTGCCCTTCCTGGTAGATTTTCTGCATTTAGTGATTTTTTTCTTTACTCATTCAGCTTCAGAATCTTGATCTGTAAAGCTACTCTCATCCTTGCTAACCCTGTCACCACTGCTCTAATCTGTCCACCCTGACCTTCCACCTTGAAGTGAATAAGAGCTTAGGCAGGCGTAGTTCTGTAAGCCGATAGTGCCACCAGCTTCAGTTGAATGAAAGGAAAGGAAATTGTTCCATATGCATTTGCTGTGGATTAGTGTATTGGCTTACTGTTACAGAGAAAGCCTGTTAGACTCTTTTGGGTCCTGCATGTGCATGGGAAACACCATTCTAACTTGTTCTTTGTATTGGAGGTAAGACTATAGGAAAAACAGGGGGAAAAAAACCTCAGTCCAGGGAAATTTAGGACTGTTTCTAAAAATAGATTGGTTTTGTTTGTCAACAGTAAATATCAGATAAGACTAGATTTGTTTAGAAAATTTGCTTTTATAAATACATTTAATTGATTTATTGTTTATTCTTTGGCACATATTTAGTTTTGTATGATTAATGTGCACTGCTGTCTTTCTGTCATTTTAAGCAACAGAAAAATCGCTAAAGTGTTTCACATGGGCAAAAAATCTGCAGAAGTATTTTATAACTCTGCACCTTATATAGATGACATTACAGATTATTCCATTTTACTTGCCATATACTATATTACAGAAATGATTTAGGTGATATCTAAAGGCATTCAGGTAAAGGAATGCAAACAGTATTAGGATCTAAATATTATTTGAACCAGCAGAATTAATAGTAACATAATAGTCAGTTGTTCAATTTCATTATCTGGTAGTGATAAAAGTCTTGCTTTTTCTTAAAGTGATAACATTTTGAATAGATCTTAAATGTATGAAAAGGAAAATCAGGAGAGAACTGAAGATCAGACTGAGTAAAGTCCAGTTTTTCCACCTCAATTGCTTTGAATCAGAGCCAAATAATGGATTAAATGGCCAGGACATCGGCTTAGTGTTACATAACATATTGGGGGAATTTATCAGGTTAATTGCAAGAGCCCTAGCTTAAAATAAACAAAGAAGCATCAACCCGTGTTATAAAATTGGTAAATGTTGATGGCTGAAGAAATATTATTCATGTAGTTTAGGACTGAGGTAAAAAAGTGCACTGTTCATTTGTAATTGAACCCTCTTTAGCTTCTGTGTTTTCTAGTATTTAAGTATACCCTCTGCTGTTTTACTCAAATGAAAATCATGGCAAGAATTAAGGATTGCAAAAGGAATTGGGGAAGGGGTGGGGGGAGGAATAAGCACATTACATTCATTTTAGCACTGCATTAAGCATAACTTGTTTTGTGAATTTTTCCATATATTTTCTATCACTTTACAATTAAATAATATTTTGCAAGTTTATAGATATAATCCCGTAGTTAATGACATTTTATAATGGAATATGGTTACTGTACATAGATAAATATTTTTCTTTAAGCACCTTTAACTTTATGATGCAACTAGTTTTTTATAAAGTGTAGAGGACTTACCTGGATTTATTACAAGAATTGTGAAAACATTCTTTCAAAGCATTTTTCACTTAGCAACTGTTTCTATTTCACTGTTTTATTAAAATATGTGCTACATTTACTTAAAAAGTTACATTTTCTGTAGTTACATGCCACTGGTATAGATAGTCTGGAATATACTTTGAAATGTAGTTGGACTTTAGAAGTACTACTTTCCCTATAAAGTATCTCAAGCAGCATATACAGTAACTGTAATTTTTAAAGAATAAGATTAAAATACTTAGATTTAAATTATCTGACATTTATATCAAAAAGCACTTTGATAAAGGTCCATCTATTTGCATAACAAGGAACATTATCACCTCTTCTATCAGAATATAAGATTGCTTTCTCTTCAGAAGTGAATTAGCTAGCCTATTTAGGATACACCAGTTTTAAAAGGTTCACTAACTCTCTTATTTCGGTAATTTTTCATATTAGAATGGTGAACAATATTAAAAAATTGAACTACTTAATGTAACAAAATCAAAGAAACATGCATTTTGGTCCTCTTAATTATTTCTTGAAGGATTTATGGGATCATTTACAATTAAACAAAGAGAATTTTGCATTGCTACTATTAGTATTACCTTATGTATTGTTTACTTTATAAGCTAATAAATATTTGTTAAAATTTGCTTAGGTGATAATGGCTACTAGGACGTTTAGTAAACTCTGTAGTAACTTTTGTCTAGTTGTCAATTTTGTACTAACATTTGATTTTCTTTGTGTGTTTAGCAGGAACGGATGCAGGGGACTGTGAACTAAGGAGTGCAAGTGCTGAAGGAGGAGATTTGTTTTGAGGAAACAGGAAAGAGGAAGAAAAGAGAAGGGAAAAATACATAATTTTAAGGAAGAAAGAGAGAAGAAAAACGGGGACTATGGGGAGAAAAAAGATTCAGATTACGAGGATTATGGATGAACGTAACAGACAGGTACGTAGAAAAAAATGTCTCTATTAGAGTTTTATGGTGTGGCATATTCGTGGTATAGTTTGTCCAAAGAATCAGTTGAGAGAGAAATTTTTAGCAGATTTTCATACTGAATATCTAAAGGCAGTACATTTGTAAACATGAAGATGTCTGACATTTATTTTTAAGTTTCAACCTGTTGTAGTTTTAATCTGCTATAATTTGTTAACACAGGCCCTGATATTCCATTTGCTTAACTCTATGCTCTGTGAGTAGTCCAGTTGACTTGAATGCATAAAGTGAAATACAACTTCAAGTCTTTATAGGATCGTGACACATATCACCCAACCTTACAAAGCTATATACACATAATCAATTTTATTAGCGTGAGGAGTCTCTTTGCATGCAGTGAAACATAAGTAAAATTATTCTTATGTTTAGATTTTTGTAGGACAAAATCTATGCTATTATTTTGCTAGACATGAATTTAAAAAGCAGTTGCACACACAGCTTTATATCAAACATCTAATAATGTTTGTATGTTTCATGCATCATGAAACAAAGACTGTACCAATGATATTGATGATGTAGGCACATCATGGTCAGTCAATTCAGATTTTTAATAAAAAATTTGGGATGGTTCAAATATTAACAGCAATAAATCCAATGGTTAAATCTGATCATAAGCAAAAGTAACTGACTTTTATTTTTAGAAAAATTAATTTCAGCGTATGGTGTCCTAAATTAAAACCAGTGGAAAAAACTGTTACTATTTATACCTCATATAATGTAGTGAGATTAGAGATGCACAAATATGGAAATAAGATAAATAAAATTGTTTAACAGTATCACTAGTTCTCCCTTAAGAGTGTGGATACAATTTGGGGTTAATCTACTGTAATTATTTTCAGTGCATCAAAAAGCATTTAGTATTCAGTTACTATTAATACACTAATTACATATATTTGACTCATTATTTTCTTTGTATATGCAGATTGTATTATAGGAAATTATTATGTTGTCATTAGAATTTAAAGTCTCATAATGCCATGCAGAAACAACCCGATATAGTAATAACCTTAAATTTTAATTTTGAAATGTGCCTTCCTTTGAATTTGTAAATGCTGTAGTGTGAGTATGACTTGTGCTCTTCATGGCAGAAAATCAAGTTTAAAAAGCAAACAATGCTAGGATTTATGATGGATACATTCTGTGTTTTCCCTACAGGTTGCTTATTGCTGTGGGCCAAGCCAAAAAGCAATAATTCTGTCAATAAAAAACCACCATATTTGTTTTAATTGGTTTATAGCTTAGAATTTAAATTAAATTTGAAATATTGAACTGGATGTATCATTAACCATTTAGACACTGGTTGTTTTGGCCTATCCTATATTACCACAATTTCTTTCAAACCATGTTTGAATAAACATATTGTAAATAAAACTACATCATTTTGCCATTGGTAACATTAATTTATACTGTAGCTTTAGTATTCACTTTCATGCTCTAATACAGGCCTATAGAGGACTTCAGTCTCCAATGCTGTCAGTTTGGCACCTTTCGTGAAGACTAAATTTACTTTAAAAAATAAATAATATTGACAGTTAAATCACTCACTGTAGCATTTCAAGAATTTTCATATTATTTATTTTCATATTATTTATTTCAAGACAAATACTGGTTCTCAAAATTAATAATTTTCTAAAAGCCTTTCCTTGATCCCGTTGTAATTTCATCTGCAGTCCTGCATCCACTTATAGCCATAACACTGGAATACTACTATTAACTATAATATTCTGAAAGAAAGCATTTATTTTGCTGGGGTTTGGTTATTTTTATAATTTCAGTAAATCAGATTCAGTAACAAACCTGAAAACATAACTTTACCATCTTTAACAGCCACATAGTCTAACTGGCATGCTGCTCCTGTCTCATTTCTAAACATTTCAAAAACTCCCTTAGAAAATTGTTTCTATTGGTTTTCCTCCTCTGCCCTTTAAGGCACTGATGCAAGACCCAATAGAAACATCAGAAAGATGTTTCCATTGACTTTAAGGCGGTGTAGATTAGATTGTTGAGGTTTAGCTATACTGCCAATGATTCAGTATGACTGGATTTTCACTGATGGCTGATTGTTCTTTTAACAGTTTGAACAGATGCTACTACTTAACAGGAGTATTTGCTAAAATGCTTTATGTCCCATGAGCTGGTATATCTTCTGAGAGAAGCTCCATCATTTTATATATATGTATACATAATTTTAAAATAATTTTTATATGCTGATTTATACTGTTGCATACTATTTCTAAAGACTGGGAAAATATTTGGATATATAAGCTAAACATTTTTCATTAAAACATAATTTAATTTTCTTTGTGTCCCAGTTGCGGCACATTTCTGCAAAGTTTACTCAGTGTTTCCATATACCAGCAACACACTTCTTTCACATAAATGAATTTGTAAGGCTAGGTTCTAGCACATTTCTGTCTTAAAGAAATATTTTTCCATGGGTCACAGAGTGTTTATTTGAAATTGTCATATAGTCATTTGCATTGCAATTTTCAAGGTGCCTTCTCTATACAAGGAGTGTTGGATGCAGCATGGTAGTGGAGTATGCTGTTGTGCATCCCCTTTGCTATTTCATCAATGCATTAATTCTGTACAGGGCAGCATGTGTGGCATAAGAAAGAGTGAGAGCCAGAGAATACAGTACTACTAGGATCCTTCAATCCCCACTACAGCTCCACTGAGTCTACCTTGATCATTTGGAGTAGCTCCTGAAAGAGGCCCTGGCAGTGGCTTCAGAACCAGGAGATGATAATTCTGCTTCTCTAACTCCTACACATTTGTCCAGAACCCTGCCTGATTAATTACATTGAGTACTGAGCACAGATCTGCCCCAACAGAGGCAGCAGTTATTATTACTGGGTGCATCTACATGAGATGCTTAAAGTGCAGTAGCCTAATAACACAGCAGTAGCGTGCCAAGCAAAAAACATGTTAATACGCTACTGCGCGGTACTATTAAGCTACTGCACAGTAAGAGTCACTAAAAAATCGTGTGCCGGCACTGCTGTGCTGCGTGTTTATTTAGTACTTTATTAAGCAAGTACTAAACTAAATGTACAGTAACTACTATGCATTAATAAACATGTAGATGTAGTCACTGTGTCTTGTAGGAGAAGTCTTTTATACTGTTAGGAGTAAGCAGCTTGAGAGACAAAAATAGTAGCAAACTCTAGAAGTAAAAGAGTATTTCTTTTGAGCAAGTTGAATTGGCTGCACATACTTGGGTTCTTTGGTTACTATCCTTATATTAAATGTAAATTAAAACTGTCAAAAGAAGTATGTTTCGACTACAAATTCCATAGAAGTGGGAAGATGGTATGGCATAAGTGTATGATCTATTCTTTTCCTGGGTTTGAACAAGGAAATCCTTTAAATAGATAATGAAAAATGGATACTGTTTACTCATTGCACATCTAATCCTGCAGTCAAATGGAGTTTTGCCATTGACTTCCATAAGGGCAAGACAAAGCCCTATAATCATGAGGAACCATACATTGGACGTTATTTTATGGATGCTATCAGTGAGCCAGCTTCTGCCTGGCCTTTACATGACGGTGAGGGGGGAGAAGGAGAGCATATGACATCTTCTTTCTTCCCATACAGCCTCACACCCACCATGATTTGTGAAAACTTTGCACACAACCAGGCCATCCCTAACAACTGCTCTCATGTGCTCTGGACAGGGGGAGGAAGAATAAAAATAGCTCACAGACTCAGAGAAAAGTCATACTTATTTGGGTACTTTGGTTACTCTCCTGGCATTAAATGTAAATTAATACTTTCAAAAGAATTGTGTCCTGAGTGGCCAGTGTGACCAAAATCTTTCTTCTTACTATAACATCGGATAATAAATTCTTGTTAAATATTGACAGAATGAGAGATCTTCAGTAATACTGCTTACAGTTATATTATTAAGATTGTCCTAGCAATTTGTTGACCATAGTTCCCTGCATTCTCTATCAGCAGCATGATCATTTGAAGTAATAGCCAAGCATTATCAGTATTGTCTCCGGACTTATAACCTCTTGATTTCTGTGAGTACCAGTTCTGAAACTAGTCAGCAATCAGATTAGGAAGAACTGTTCTTATGAGGGCAAGTGTTGATTTGAAAGTAAGGAGTAGGAAATTTGTTAAAATAATTCTGACATATATTTGCTATTTTTCCTTTGTTTTTTTCCTCTGAAGTTCAAAAAAAAAAAAGGCAACCAGTTCTACCATTGTTCACAGGTCAGAGGCATTCTCCAAAGAAATTAGCTTACATTTTATGTTCATTTTTCAAATTTTGAAATTTCATAACAATTTTGAAATTCAGAATATTCCAGCCAGCCTTACAGAGGGTCATTTTTGAGGGCATCAGCCTTCAAAAGAAGTTGTTAAAACAGAGCCACAAGAATGCCTTTGCAACCCTTTGTACTTTATATAAATTTGGGTAAATGATGTCATATACCATTATATAATATATGTTATATAACATATTTGGCCCAAATTTATATGGAGTGTCAAGTATAAAGTGGTATAAAGGAAGTTCTTGTGGCTCTGTTTTATCATCTTCTTTGGAAGGCTGATGCCCTCAAAAATGACCCTCTGTAAGGCTGGCTAGAATGTTTTAAATGTCAAATTTGTTATGAAATTTCAAAATCTTAAAAATAAGCAGAAAATGTAAGCTAATTTCAGTCTAATAATATTAATGGTATTGAAAGGCATTTTGTGATGCTTGATGAAATCTGTGGCCTGAAAGCTAAATGTAACCAGCACATTGATCTAGAAAAGCAACACCTAAACCCAGCAGAGTGGACTGTCATATTGTGAGCTATATCTTGGTGTCTGCCTCTGTTACTTTTTCTTATTTTGAACATCTTAATTTGCCATACTTCCGCGGGAGAACTTGTATGACTGAGACAAGCAGTATCTGGTCTTAAACAGCACCTGCTTATTTCCATTACCCCATCTTCTTC